AGCCCTGGCCATGAATCACTGCAACTGGATTTTCTGAGTAATGTCTCGCTATTCTCACAGTACACCAGGCAAAAGAAATCAAGTCTTGTATAGGCTGCTTGAGCATTTGAAGTCAGCCGTTTGAAAGACCATACCAAAGTTTAGGCCATTAAAATGCAATATTTTTAAAAGTCTGTCATGTAGAGGGATTAACATTCCAAAAATGACCATTTTTTTTCTTTGTGGATAAATTTAGACAGCTAATTTTTTCAATAGTTGGCTAGGAGAAAATGCTCCCTTCCTCCTGTGGTTTCTCAAAACTAGGCTCCCCCCTTCTCCCCCTTTTCTTTCTGAAACATTATTTTATGTGAAGTATGCCCTCAAAAAGTAGAAACTATAAAAAGGGAAGGATGGAGTGTCATTTTACAAGGAGAGAAAGAATCCTTAAAAAATATTTATCCCACACTTGGCAACCTTTTGCTTGCCCGCATGTGACTGGCACGGTGCCATCCTTGGCAGAGGCCAGTGCCTCAGCTTGCCAGAAGTCTTCCTCTCCTGGCTGCATTTTCACTCTCTGTGACTGATTGTTTATTCACCTGATTTTTCTGTTTCAGCGTTGCTGAAGTCATGGCGTCTTGGAGATAAGAACACTTTGTCTGTCCAAAACTGTACAATAGCCATGATGTCAACGCAGAGTGTCTGCAGCGAGCTTTAGCTTTGTGCACACTTCAAACAGCAGGGAGGTATTAGATGTCAGACAAACTTACTACCACCTCCTTAGCATGAGGCTGTCCAAAAAGGAATTGTCATAAATACAGAGAGATGATTTGTTTCTTGCTTTTTTTGGAGAGTTGTGTTTGAGGATTTCCCAACCTTGCTTTGTATTCACAATTTTGGTTTAGCATCTTGGGGATTTTAATTGAGAAGAATGAGTCTCCGAGTCAGATTCTCTTGGAGCTCCTCTTGTTTTGGGGATGTTTGCATTTAGAGTATCTGCTTTCTGTATGTCAGGTCTGAATCTGATTTACTAGGTCAGTGGGCATCTTGGAATGAAAAACTTTGCCTTTTTTGCAAGTGATAATAGTATCTTATTAGTATTTGGAAAATCTCCTGAATTTTGTTGACAAGGAAGACTTCTCATTTGAAGAAATTGGAGAGAAGCTGAAGCATGGATGGTCAAACTGCTGTTGTTAGTTTTGCTCCGGTAAATTTGATTTGTGGCTACTGGTACTCTTGTAATGTCCTTCTCTGAAGATCTGATGATTATTCAGTACTTTCACTCCCTAAATGTAAATACACACTCTGGTCTAGTGAAGCCTCCATCATCTCTGTATTAGAAGCTGCATAAGAGTCTGCCCTTCTCCAGGTCTTGTTTTGACTTCCTTCTTCCATGGCTGCCCTCCAAGGTCTCTGCAATTTTCCATTATCTTGGTAGCTTCACATGGTGACAATTAAGCATTTTTTGCACTTGTGCTTGTCAGCAAGGATTTGTTCAGGGGCTTGGGGTTTTTTTTTCTATACAACCATCAGCCTTCATGATCCAAGGCACTGTTGTACCTGGGTGATAAAATTCTATCCCCAAACGTCAGCCCACTATTTACTTATGTTTGTCTCTCTTACGTTCTTGCAGACTAAAGTCAACAAGTTAATGAGCGTATTTCAGGGCTTGCCTTTTTTTTTTTACAGAAGTATTTTGGAACCTGCATTCTAAATGTTTTGGCACAAATCTAGCAGCTCCAGTAGCACAGTTTGGGAGGGCAGAGGGGAGGATAGATGGGACTGGATTGTAAGGCCAGCCAGTGTTGTTAAGTAAGGTTTTTATAACAGGGATATCTGAGGGAATTGGCATGCAAGGCAGATAAGAGTTTTTGTTGTTTGTGTGTGTGTAGGATATATTACAAAAGTTCTTGTTCTGCCTCTTCAAAGAAACAGGATACCCGTATTGTCTCCAGGCTGAAAACTATGCCAACGTTAGCAAGAACGAGGAAAAAATAGGACTGAGAGAAAAGCAAGGTTGCTGAGCTTTTAAAAAATTATCTTCAGAAAGTTTTCAAGAGTTCTCATTAAAATGGTTGCGATTAAAAATATTACTGTAGTTTTGAAAACCCGTTTCACTGATTGCCTTTTTCATATGAACTCGTGTGTCCTTCTGTGCTTCAATTTATATTTCTGTAGACGAGAGTCAGCAGATTTACCAGGAGATGCAGGGATTCCTATTTATATAGCAGGCTGTTTATGAATGGCAGAGACATTAAGGGAATAGAAAAGTCTTTCCCAAGAATGAAATAAACTCAGTCTTTTCCTACTACATTTATCTCAATGTAGCAGCATTTGTTTTTTAGCAAATTGTCTAGATGAAAACAAAAAAAATCAGTGAACTTTGTGGAGGCATGGGGTACATGTGTGTTATTTTTCTTAGTAGGGCTTTGAACTGGAAATGTAGCTACCACACTAAAACTGAATTCTGGCACCCACTCAGAACAGCAGTCTGTCTGCTAGCAAGACCCACTGATTTTTTGTGTGTGTGTTTTGTGGTGTTGGTTTTTTTTAATCCCTTAGTAGTTGCAAATGCAAGTAGTACTGTATACCTTAAGGTGAGAGGCAATTTGTGCTGCTTTACTAAAGTGGCATCTGGGCACGGGCAGACTTTATTCCTTTTACACTGGTGTAGGTTACCATCAAAAAAATATAGAGACCTGCATGCTTGTTTATTTCTGTGTAAGGGTTTGGTGTGTATGGTTTTTTTTCCTTTTCAAGAAAAAAACCCACAACTCCAGCATCTTTACGCAATGCATTATTTAGCAGTGATTTCCTCTGCATTCCCGCTCTCAGTAGTCTTACAAGTAACTGACTCTGCAAAAAAATTTCTTAATTTGGCCTGCGTGTGATATTTGCACTACCCGGGCAGGCATCGGCCATCCTCGTGCTTTCACCTCCTTATTCTCATAGTCTCCCATCTCCACCCTCCTTCTACTTTTCTGCCTGGGTTTGCTCTGAAGAAAAGAGTATACAGGTATGGAGCAGTAGTAACGGCATTGCTGTTGGGTTGTAACAGCAGTGTGTGCGAGGAAAGGACTGCAGAGTTAAGTAATATTTGTTTTCTAACTGGAAAAGACAAGTGAGCTCTTGGGCAACTTCAGTAGTACCTTTTCACGCAGTAAACCCACTGCCTTCAGTTCAGTGTATCCAGGCTATCTTTAACACAAACTTCTTGTGTTAGTGGTTCGTGGCTCCGTACATACAGGTAATGGCACTATCAGATATTGTAAGCAGCTCTGATGATGATACTTCATAGCTACCTGCTAATATAGGAGAGAGACCGCTAAGACTGTCAGGTTACTTGGGGAGTACCTGCAGGTGGAATTTCCTCCACAAGACCTTTCTTGACCTTAATTGTGTAAGGAGAACCCAGTTTCATACCCCGGTGCTTAAACTTGCAAGGTTGGCAGTTAGGGCTTAAAAAAAACCCAGTGAATAAAATTCAACAAGATCAGTATAGAACCCTTTTGATAAGAAATGCAAAGTTCTCTGATGGCTGTTTTACACGTGGACACTACCTCAAAGCTGGCAGAAAATGGCTTCTTATAATCAAAACTTGATGTAGGATGTCTAGATCCTGATGCAGAGTTATGAACAGGTTTTTTCTTTTTTCTTTTCTTTTAAAAAAAAATCCTTGCTTAATAGCACTGTCATGCTTTTAGTCCTGTGTTGTGATTGTGGTGCTCTGCTCAGTAGCAATGTAAAAACATACTGGAAAGCCTAGACTTCGTTATGGGAAGAGGAGGGAGTCAGGATTTTAGGGCACTTTAATCCTGCATTAAAACAACACTGTAGTTGCAAACTGAAAGATAAATTGGAATGCAGAATTTATGTGGAACTGTTACGGTTTCATAAAAGTTGTCTTTCTCTATAGGCTGGGCTCTGCTGCTTCCATGTTCATTTTGGGATATTACCTTCTTTGCTGGTTATATGCTTTTTGCTCAAGTCGTTCAGTTTAAATGTCTTGTGGTGCTTTGCTGGGATCTCACTATAGTTGCGCTACTGAAATTTTGTTTTATGCTGTTGTTATTGATACTGTGCTTTAGCTAAGTTAGAAAGTGGAAACCAGTTACTTAATGCAAACCAGATTTCCTATCTGTGTTTGTTTACAGAGCCTCTGGCACACAACTCGCATGGCTAAAAGGCCATACAACGCTGTAATCAAAATGTTGTTGTTACATAAATATAACACTGCCACTTCTTTTGATGTAACAGTGGTGAGCTTGTCTGCTGATGTTTCGGTCTTTGTTCGTGTCTTCCAAGCTGAAAGGTTTTCACGTAAAACAAATTAATAAATTTGCACCCCCTTTTTCTCTCCCTTTCATATTTCGTTCTCTGAACTCAGAATTTGGGGATAAGGCAGAATTCTGTTACGCTCTTCAGGGGAAAATAGTAGCTCCATGATTCCACAGTATTTGATGTGTACCATCTGTACTTTATTAAATCTCATTTTGCATACATAAGCAACGTTGGGATGCCACACTGGGGTCAGTCTAACCATGTGTGCTACGGTATCGCAGTGCTTTATTGTACAAGTGTAATTAAGTTGTTTAAAGGAAGCTTGTTTTCTTGCCAGTAAAAGACCAATTTGAAGTACAACTAGGAAAGACAAGAAATGCCTAGAAAGACAATAAGTCAGCGCTCAAAAAAAAAAAATTAACCATAATACTTGGGCTATGGAATAGGTTCCAGTACTTGCCTGTTTCCATTATCCTTATGTTGGTCTTGCTTTCAGCAGTTTTCCGCATTATTTAATTGGTTCATGTTATAAATTTGATCTGAGAAAAAGATATTTTCAGGGAAGTAAAACTGAGAAAAACAGAATTTAATTTGTCAGTCTTACAGGAGTTGATTCTTTTGCAGAGGTGCTCTAGAGCACAGGGAATGAAAGCATAGAGTTGTACGGATCAGGGTTTTTCCTTTGATGCCGTTCACTTCGTTTAATAGCTGTTGTTCATGTGACCTTGTGTTCTGTCTTGCAGTGTGCCCCAGCTCATGTGGCAAGCGAGCCTGTACAGACCAAAATGAGTGTTGCCATCCCGAATGCTTGGGGAGCTGCACGGCTCCTGACAACAACACCGCGTGCGTGGCCTGCCGCAATTACTACTACGAAGGAGTCTGCATGCCCACTTGCCCTCCCAACACCTACAAGTTTGAGGGCTGGCGCTGCGTCACTAAAGAGTTTTGCTCCAAAGTCCCTGCCACCGAAACAAGTGAATATGAGAGGTTTGTGATTCACAACGATGAGTGCATGGCAGAATGCCCCTCTGGATTCATACGCAACGGAACCCAAAGGTAATGCAGCTTCTGGAAAGTTCATCGGAGTTGTCATGTTCGGGTTTTTCCATCCGTTGTTCTGTGGCAGCTTGTGATGCAAATTACGTTAGCTAGAAGTGAGAACATACAATGGGAAATTGCATGACTTGCTAGTAAAGTCTTGCTTAGATGAATTCACCCCTGAAAGGTCTGATTGTTTGTGGTCCTGTGCATTGTCAGTTGCCACTGATTCTTCTGAAGGACTTGAGGAGATCAGTACAATGCAGAACCAGGTCTTCAAGTAGGCAGTAACAAATGAAAGTGAAAGCCCCAGAACACAAGGTTGGAGGATGGCCGATGACCATTATCACACAGAACAAACTGTAGGAGTTATCTTCCTTCTCATATTATTTGTTTTATGTCTGCTTGTATTTTAGACACGTATATTCTATAGTGTATTTAATTTTATTTCCTTTTTTTCACTGTTTCCAGAAGATAACAATGGTGTTTTAGAAGGGAGCAATCATGTAGATGGTGACAAAAATAATGCAGCAGCAGACAATATTATACGGAGTAGTTTCTTCCAAGAATGTCACTCACCTGCTCTTATTTAATTCTAACAGTTGGAGTGATGCATGCTTATAATTTTCTTATTTTGCCAGTGATCTATGCAAGCAGCCTTAGCTGCCTGCTGATCCTTGGAAGTTGTGGACTTTGAGTAAAGGACAGTCAGTGTACTGAAATCCGTAGAAATTCAGTACTATGCTAAGAAGATGTCTTTGTAGGCCTGTTGGGTTTTTTTGGAAGGGTGGTTGTGATGATACCTGCACCAGGTGTCATCCATCCATTCAATCAAATGCTAAGGCAGTCTCCGGTTGGCATTTGGATGTAAGCAACTTAACACTGCTTTTGCTCAAATCCAGATATTCACCTGAGAAATGTTTCTTTTGTTATCTGCTTGAGCTTGTAGTACCAGCTGTTTGAACAGCTTACACCGAAGTGCACGGCCATCCTATCTTATCTCAGTGTTGTGCTCTGCTGCAAAGATTGAAAGGAGCTGTAATTCAAGGCTAGCGAATGTTTTGTTCCCCAGAGGTGGTGTTAACAAATAGTTGCAAATGGAAAGAATTTCCAGCATTCTTTGTACATTCAGTTGAGTGCCTCTTGCTTGTGTTTGCAGCTTTTAGTGGTTAGTGGCGTGTTACAGTGCAGAATTTTGAAATAGGAGCTTACTAGTAAGAAAAGGAAGCTTCTTTCTTGTATTATTTATGCATGAAAAACTGTTTTTACTAATGTACATGTTTTTTAAACCTCAGAGGACAGTGGGTTCAGCTTCTCTTAAAGAGAATGAACAGTTAAGTCCATGTTCATCTGTATTGTCATCAGAAGCTTTTATCTTTGGAGCTGGGTTTGGTTTTTTTCATTTTTCCCCTCAAGCGATAAGGTAGAGTAAGTAATAATGAAATACAAAGGGAAGTGCTAGAATAAATTGAAAAATAAAAATGACCTTGAATCGGGAAAGACGTTTACCAGGAGGAATGATCAGAGGGCATGTTTTGTGCACACTTGAAGTGTTCAAATTTGAAATGAGTATGCAGACAGTTTAACATGAAGCCTTTAAAAAGCTGCTGTAGCCAAAGGCTAGGCTGGCCTGAGTTCTTTTTCCTTGAGTTTGGCCATTAAAAAATGCTGATGAATGCTTGTGAGTATAAGAAGCAGGAGAAGCGAGCCTGCACTTCAGTGTTTCCTCCCAGTTTCTGGCAATCTGGTTTCTCCGAGTTCGAGGCTGTCTCTGTTTGGTGTTTTATAGTCACTGATGGACCTGTTCTTTTTCTGTCTGTATAATCTATTTTGAACCTGCTTAGACTTCTGGCCTATCTCTCCCAATTTTTTTTTCCTGCTGCAAATTAGTTTTGTTTTGTATCAAGATGCATCCTTCTGTTAGTTTAAACTTGTTGCTTTAATACCTCTTAAGCTGTAAGAAATAGTGACTAATTCACTGCTCCCTTTCTCCACATCACTCATGACTGGATGCTTCTACAGTTGTCTTTCCTGAGTTAAAAAGGCCAGGAGCATGGAATTCCCTAGTGTTGAGCTTTAAATGTTGGTTTAAGAGCATGGAGACAGGCAACTTTATAAGAAGTTGAACAGTATTTTCCTATCTCCAGTTCCTGGCTGGCCTCTTTTTGGAGGTTGGGCCTGGATTAGCACGAAACTTCACAGCACTCAGAGACTGCCTGCGTAAATGAGAAGGGTGGTCTTTCTTGGGTATCATTAAGTTAGAATAAGTGCACAAATGGAAGGGCACTGAGTTTTACCTGAAGTGCCTTTGACTTTGGAAGGACCACAGAGCCTTTCAGAAGCTGGCAGACAGTGGGTATGGATCCATTCATTCACTCTGGTGTTGCTGTAAACAGGAGGTGCGATGCTCCGGCCTCTGTGGAGTCCAGTGGGCAAGCATCCGAAGTTACCTACAGCCCTCTGCGGAAGTATGGTAACTTTCATTCTAGCCTGAAGGACTTGTCTAAGCTTTAGAGGGAAATGTCTTTCAAAATTTAACTCGGAGCAGTCCGTAGTCTGAGTTGTGTATCGTTACTTATTTTCAGTCCCCCTTTCTTTCCTAACAGCATGTTCTGCAGTCCTTGTGAGGGGCCTTGCCCCAAAATTTGTGAGGATGGGAAAACGAAGACCATTGACTCTGTCACGTCAGCACAAATGTTGCAGGGATGCACAATTCTCAAGGGAAATCTGCTGATTAACATCCGTCGTGGAAGTAAGTGATTGCCCTCTCTTTATGAACCTCTGATAAGGCTGCTTTTAATATTTTTGCTTTTGTCTGTCAGCGTAATGATAAGAACATTAAAAACTCAGCAAACTGTTTGCTTTCCAGTCCCATAGTAGCGCTCCTGTTTGGTTTGGCTCACTGTAGCACTATTCTCCAACATGCGGATGGAACAGGTATCCAGCTACCAAGTTACAAGGCAGGGAAAGCTGGTATTTTTGTTAGCTTTTTTTGGCAGGACAGGGAACTGGGATTAGGCAGTGAGATGAGCAGTAGTCCCAAAGGAATAATAAAGGCCCGAAAAGGTGGAAAAGTCAAAAATCCTTGCATCTGGGTAGGTAAATAACTTGTCTGCAAGTAAGACATGGCACTGCCAGACTGCATATCCTCACTTTTCAAGGCACGGTGTGGTGTCTTGCTAAAACATGGAATCCAGAGTGCTGAGAGCTCATATAAAGCCCAGCGCTGTGTTTCTGGATGGTCATCATTAGTGAGCTGGCTACCTTTGTCGCATGTCTTGAACAAGCTCTGGATTAAATTTGTCAGAGCAGTGATTCATCAGCCAGGGAAGTGCTGACAGTTGATGAGCTCTTAAAAGCGGAGTAAAAATTACCGTTAGTTTTTATTGGAAATGAATCTCACTGTGGAAGATCCCTTTTGGTTTCATGAATACGGTTGAAAGATTGAGATACATTTGATTCCCTTCTTCCTTTTTTTTTTCTGAATGAAAACTTCAGGGTTTAGAAACAGCAGCATGTGGATTATTTCACTCATGGTCCCACTCTTACAGGTACAGTCTTCCCTTATGGGAGATGTTCTAGTTACCTGGGGCAAGTGTGGGGTGGGTTTGGGTTTTTTTTAAGTATTATCTTAGAGTGCTGAAGATCATCTGCTTCCACCCAGCTTATTTGGTGTGGGAACCAACCATTGGTATTTGGTAATTGGGCTTCCCAGTCATCTCTGAGGACTTTGGTTTGTTTATGGCAGCAAACACACCCGGTAGCAGCTTCTCCCATCCTGAGTGCTTATAAACTTTCCCTCATAACTGCAGTGTAACTTCTCAGGATAATGACACCAGGCGATGGGCATGGGCTCAGGATTGCTGGAGGTAAGGACTACAAAGCTTGAGCCTTGTGAAGGATGGGGTGTTGCAAACCTAGGCAGGGACAGTACAGTTCCTAGGGCAGGGGCAGTACTGAAGATTTGAGCTTGCTCTGCAGTTGTTTTAATAATTTATTATAGAAAAATCACTTTTAGCAGGCTATATAGAACATGCTCTATGGCATGAGGACATCCTTACAGTTTTATCTTTGCCGTTTCATCAAGAGTTCTCATTTTTGTAGCCAGAGCTTTTTAGGTCACTGAAAGCAATGCTTTATGGCCCAGAAAAGACCAATAGTGTACCTCCACCTCTTCATCTTCAGTCTCATTCTCTGTTTTCCAATGGAGCTTTCCGCCTGAGCTTTGCTCTCTAGCCGAAGAGCAATTCCAGTCTCATGGATGTGTACATCTACACAAGGGTCTTTTCATCCCTGCCAGAATGCTGGCTCAACATTTGGTGCTGGCTTCAGAGTGCAGTGTCCATGGAAAAAGCAGGTATACCAGTATGGAAAAGCAAGACTGGTTTTCCACTGTTGCTCTGTGGCTTTATTTTGCCCTTCAACCATCTGTCCACACAGGCAACTATTACTGGGGGAGGAATACCAGTATGTCTCATTTTCAAAAGCAACAAGTACAAACATTTGCTTTTACTGAGCTAATACTGTATTAAGCAGAATAGCAGTTAAAGCTATGAATTTTGCAATAACAAAATTACATTTTTCTTGCTATAGATAACATCGCCTCAGAACTGGAGAATTTTATGGGTCTGATTGAGACAGTAACAGGGTATGTGAAGATTCGTCATTCCCATGCGTTAGTCTCCCTGTCTTTCTTGAAGAACCTGCGGTATATTCTGGGAGAGGAACAGGTGGATGGGTAAGTGTTCAGATATTAGTAGATGCAATTTCACTTTAATAGAAAGCTGCAGAAAATAAGTCTCCTAATAAATAGTCACGTACCATTTACAGAATGTTCTCTTCCGCTAATACGCAGTGTTTTTCTTCTAATGAGCACCGTTGCACAGTCATCGCTCATTTGGATTACTATCCAAATCAGCATATTAAATTGAGTATATTAAAATTGAGTAAATTAAAATACTGGTAACTTTGCTGTTGCTTTTCACTTTACATTTTTCTAGAGAGAGTCCTTACATTGACAAACTGAGTGTGTCTTCAATTTGCGCTGTTTGAGAAAAGCACGTCTTCAGAAACAATTGGATTTCCTTGCAGTTCTTTACTGTTGGCTTTAAGCAGCGTTTTACAGAGAATGTCAGCTGAAAGGAAACCTGAACTTTACTAAACAAGGAGTGCAACTGGAAGTGACCCAACTAGTGTGAAGTAGATTGCAAGTTGCAATTGTTTGCAACTCCTTGAAATGCTGACATTAAATGAATTATCTATTGAACAGGAAAAAGACTGGTCAGGAGAAGTGAAGTTGATTCTTTGAAATGTTTGCTGTGGGTTATATCACTTCTATAATTACACAATGTGGGATACTTTTTCCTGTATACAACTCCCATTTTCCTATGATGGTAAGAGATAGTCGAGACAAAAGTTTTCATCTCTGCAGAACTTGCAAGTGCTGAGGTGTGGTACTGGTCCTTCAGCAAACTGCCTTGCTATTTCTCTTCCTGAATCAAGTAACCATCCCAAGTTTAAACCAGTGTTCTCTGGGAGAAGTAAGTCTCCCTCAGTAATGACAGAACTATTAAATGAAGAATTTTAGGAAATCATGTAAGAGAAGGTGGTGGGAGGGTCATGGGAAAGGTGGCTTGTGTCTGATTTCTCTGCCCCAACAGGATAAAGTTACAGCATGAGGGATTCTTCACAACCTCCCTCTTTCTCCCAGGCTAGTCTTTGGTCAGCCTTAAATTCTTGAAATTCCACCATGTGACAGAGCGAGTTAAAGGGCAGCTCTTCATCCTGCACTTGAAAAGCACGTTGTCTTTTTCAGTAAGAGCACTGGGTCTACGGAAAACCTTGTTTCTAATTGCAAATCTTAGAGGCTTGTCACTTTGCCGAGCACAAGACTCATTCAGCCCACTTACGATGTGGCGTGCTCTCACAGGTACTCCAGTTATCGATTTGTCTTTTCTTCTCTCTCCCTCCCTCCCTTGCTCTCTTTAAATTTGAGTTTAGCTTTGTGTTTCAAGTAGTAATTATGTTTATGGTAGCTTGTATGTCAGTAAGCAGAGCTGATATGAAGGGAAATGGCAGGTTTTAAAATTGGATTCCCAAATAGAGAAGTAAATAGGTGCAGCTTTGAAGAGGAAAACAGAGATGAGTGAGGGAGGTAAAGTAGATCTGTAGTAAAGAGCTACTTGTGCTAAAATTCACCCATGCTAGGAAATTACTGCAGTTACACACTTAGGGTCAAGGGCAGTCTCTTTGCTTAGAAAAGGCCTAGCATAATTTAGGCGTTACCACCATCTAAATAATGTTTCAAAAAATACTTAGATGCAAGTAGGCACCTGGCAAGGAAGGGCTAAGCTTGAACAATTACTTTGGCAGAGTTACGAACAACAGGGAGTGGGGTCTTAACCTGGGAAGTACTGGGCTGCTGGAACAATAGCTGTTTATGCCAGCATTGCCTCGGGGCGTGAGAGGGAGGTAAACTTCAGATCCATTATGATAGTTGTTCATTACATGACTGACCCCACCACCACCGTCCCTTTTTTTTCTTAATTGAACTGGACTAACAAAACAGTACTTCAGTATTTCTTTCTTCCTTATTCAGTTGCTGGTGCCTGCCTCGGTTATCCCAGGAAATGGAAAGTTTAGAGGGAGCTTACTTTGTTCTCAGAGTATTCACTGCCTCTTTTGAACATGTCTGTAGTGAACGTGCTGCCCTGGCGAGAAAAAAATTTCCCTTTGCAAATAGGACAACTGAAATGGAGATGTGCTGGAGGGGTCTCAGTGTCTGTTGCAGGGTTTTGATTCCTAGTCTGATGTCGACTCTGCTGGGGTGCTCTGTGTTCATTGCTGTCATCGACTGCAGCTGCCATGTTGATGGATGGCATGTGGGCAGCACTTCTTAAAGCATCTCCAGATTGGGTACCTGGGAAATGAGCAATTTGTGGCCTTCAGGAGCAAGTGAGGAGATGATGACTGAGGAAGAGTTCCTATTGTGGCACCAGCCAGCTGCTGACATTGAGTTTCAACTTCTGCAGCAAATTTAGGACAGTCTCTATAAAAGCAAAACAACCCCCCCATGCCTGTTTTCTACATCCATTTGAAGCAGAGATATCGGTAGCTGCCAGACCTGTTTGGAAGGTGTGAGCAGGATTTCTAGCTGTTGTATGGCTCCTTACTGAAGACTTTACGGTTTGTTTTCCTGCAATTGTTATTGTCAGATATCGTGAATTCAGACAGTCAGCAAGATAGCACCAAGGCTTGTTGTAGCCACAGCATTTCAACAAAGCAGTCACCGTGTGTATTAAGAGTGTTTTAGAAAGGAATAATGCCGTCCGGGCTGGTGGTAAACATGGGTGGTGAGCGTGTCTGCAGTGACAGGCTCCCATGGGGGAATGTTCCTCGGCTTTGTTTTTGTTTAAGGGGAGTCTGTAAAGACACTGTTTTTCAGCCATCCCTGCATAAGTGAAGTTTCAGAAAGTGGGTTGGGGAATTTGTATGCTGAGGTATGAGATTGGGTTTGTGTCAGAGTTTAAGAAGTTCATCAGTTTACCTTTTCGAACCGGCCAAGAAAACAGTAAACTTCAGTATTAGTAAGATGCATTACTTCCAAATCCATGGGATAGTATGAAAGCCCCTAGTTTCTGACCCATGTATATGCCTGTAAAGATGCAATTCTTGGCCAAAATCATCTCTAAGTTGCTTACAATTTACACTAGCAAGATGTGTGTAAGTATCTATTAGAGACAGATAATAACCTCTGCTAATAACCTGTTAGTAACCTCAGTGGTTCTGTTTGAAGCTGTGGTGGGCAAACACAAGCAAAAGAATATACCAGCATTATTAGAACTTTAGCAATGTTTTGGAAATTTGATAAAGTTCAAGCTGGTAGAGAAATGCTGAAGAACAAACTTCCTTAAAGATAGACCATCAAATGGAGCATTTTGTTCAAGTACTGTCCTCTGTATTGTTCTCTGTTGTGGTGTTTGCTCTATATATTTGGCTCTGTTGTCAGGCCCTCATCAGGGATCAGGGTCACACTGTGATACAGATGTAGAACATATACCATGTTAATAGGCAGTTTCTAGCCAACATGTGGCATGTTTTGTGTATGTAAAGTAATAAGGATTTTGCTTTTCTCCTGTCTCTTACTGATTGATGTCCCAGCTATCTGGTCTAGTGGGATTTTCCGTCTGTCTTCTCATTGTAGCACTGAGAGATGAACGTCTTGTATTCTGTGTGTCCTGCAGGGTTGCTCGTCTTGTTCCAGGGTAGTCAGTCTGCCATAAACCTTTGCTGCCTGGTTGTCTTCTGTAACCCGCTCATCCACCGCTCTCGTTCACAGTCCTTTGCCGGTTCTCATTCCCTTTTTGGTGCAAGTCACTTGCCTTTACACATCATGCATTGCTCTCTTATTAGCAGTGTACTCATCTGGTCATTACCTCTTTCAGGAGCTTTTTGTGTCCTGTACACTATGGAGGGGGGGATAAACTTGTTGAAACGCTTTCATCACCCACGTCACCTTTTGTTTCGGATCTCATGTTCTGCCTCATATCTTTACAATGGGTGAATGTGCACAGATGTAGCACTGCGTGCGGATACAATGTGAAGCAGGTTTTTAATGTATGCTGTCAATAATTAAGTGGCTGTGGGTGCTCTGCAGTTGGGGATACACATCATGTTGTGGGAATTCCCTCCTGTGGGTGTGCATGGGTTATGCAGGTCACCTTGAGGCTTTTTATGGCAAGTCTGGGACCAGATGTGCCTCCTACTCCTGTTCAGAGGTTTAGCCCATCCTTCAGGCCATAATCTCCAGTCATTCCCTTAGTTACTGTCTCCAGGGTTTGACTGGCAGTGCTTTGTTTTCCAACAGTGAATCTTTTATTCTTTCCATGCTATCTTCCTTGGCATCCTGATTTTTTCCACAGCTGTTAGAGCCAAAGTCTGATATAATCTTTATTTATAACTTTATTTATAACCTAAGCCCTAAGTGCACTCTAGTTGCCCTCTGCTCCACCTTTCAAACCATGCAGTGCTGCACCTCTCCTGTATATAGGGCTGTATATAGCCCTCCAAACGTGGTTTCCCTGGTGCTAGAATAACTTCCACTAATTTACACTTCAGTGTTATATTATGAACCCTTAGGACCTCTTTGAGCAGCCATCTGAGGCAAGGCAAACTTGTGCAGATGGCATTAACGTATGAGCCGTGGTAACTTCCAACTCTGGCCCAGTCGCTGTGCAGTTGTGTAAAGCACCAGTGTGTGCTTGATTTGCCTCATTTATTCAGGCTCTTGAAAGCTTAGCCACATTGTTTTAATACAAGAATTATCTCTAGTATCTAAAGCGTAATTGCCGCACTCGTGAGCAGGAGACAGACTGGGCTGTTATTAAATATTTAAGATGGTTTCTGTAGTGGTGGAACCACACCTGTGTTTATTGTGTTCAATCTGAGCCCAGCTTTTTGGATCTTTCCTGAAAAGCTTAGTTGCCATCACTTAATCACGCAGCTAATTTTGGTGAAGTGTCATCTCTTCAGCAATGCACAGGGAGCTGCAGGGATTTAGTCATCTGTAACAGAGTAATAGGTGTCTCAAACACAGATTTTGGTGATGTCTGTCAAATCCCACATGCGATTTAGCATCCTTGTCCTCTCCTGGCAAGCTGCATTTAAAGCACAAACATGTATGTGCTCCCTTGTCAGCTGAGCACATTCTTCTCTGTATCCATCTGAAGTGGTACGAGG